GGACCTCTACTGCATCTTTCATCCGGTTCAGCAAAACTCTGTTAAAGACCTTCCCTGATATCGGCAGTAGTGTAATGCCTCTGTAATCTTCATATTTCTTCAGATCTCCTTTCTTTGGAATCTTGATGAGGTGCCCTTCTTTCCAGGCCATCGGCACTTGTTCCTCCTTCCAAATCTTTTTGAATAGAAGGTAAAGCATGCTTGTGATTACTTCGACGTCTGATTTCAGTGCTTCAGCTGGTATGTTGTCGGGTACTGCTGCTTTCCCGTTCTTGATTTGTCTGATGGCTATCCTGATTTCTTCTGTCGTTGGTGGATTGACATCTATAGGAAGATCTGCGTGTGCTGCTACGATGTCCGGTGGATTCATTGGAGCCGGCCTATTCAGGAGTTCCTCGAAGTACTCTACCTATCTGTTCCGCTGTTGTTGAATTTCAGTGATTGGCCTGCCTTCCTTGTCCTTGACCGGTCTCTCTGGTTCACTGTATTTCCCTGCTAGTTTCTTCTTTGTATCGTAAAGCTGTTTCATGTTTCCTTCTCTAGAAGCTTTTTCTGCCGTCGTTGCTAATTCTTCCACGTATTACTTCCTGTCGGCTCTAATGCTCATCTTCACTTGCTTGTTTGCTTCCATGTATTCAGCTTGTGCTTGGACTTTCTCTGTTCGTGTTCGGCTGCTGTTAATTGCTGTCTTCTTGTTCTTCTTTGATGTAGTCCAGTGTTTCTATAGAGATCCATTCCTTATGATGGTACTTCTTTAGACCCAGAACCTTTTGACATGTTGAATTTAATGCCTTTTTTATACTTTTCTAGTTGTCCTCCATAGTAGTTTCTTCTGCGTTCAGTAGGTCCTGTAAACCTTGGAACCTGTTGTTGAGAGCTATCTTGAATTCATTGAGTTTGTCAGTATCTCGAAGGAAGGTTGTATTGAACCTTTGTAGTGTTGTTTGTCCAGTTGTCCAGTTTTTCTTTAGCTTCAGTTTTAAGTTGGCCACAACTAGGTGGTGATCTGAAGCTATATTAGCTCCTCTCCTGGTTCTCACATCTTCCATTGTCCTTCGGAATTTTTTATTGATGCAGATATGATCTATCTGATTCTCTGTAGTGTGGTCCGGTGAGATCCATGTAGCTTTTTGTATACGTTTGTGTGGAAATATTGTGCCTCCTATGACCAATTTGTTGAGTACACACAGATTTGCAAATCTTTCTCCATTTTCGTTTCTCTCTCCCAGTCCATGTCGTCCCACAATATCTTCAAATCAGGTGTTGTCTATTCCGACTTTGGCATTTAGATCTCCCATTAGAATAGTGAGGTCGTTTCTTGGGCACTCCCTGAGTGTGCGGAGCATTTTCCTCTTCATGACCGGAGTATAGCAGCATCTCTCTTGTATTTAGCCTTTGTTGTCCAGCTTGGGTCCAGTAGGCTTCGCTGATTCCCAGTACTGCCAAATTGTATCTCCTCATTTCTGCAGCAATTTGGAAGACTCTCCCGGTCTCCCACATTGTACGAGTATTCCATGTACCTAAATAAATGGTTGCTCTGGTTGTCAGAAGGGATATCGGCCTCGTAACTTCCGAAGGAACTCGGTTTTCATCATGAAGCGTCATAACTCTTCTAAATGAAGACCTTCTGGCTCCCAGGGCAGAGTTTAAAAGGTTTGAATAATTTTTTCTGGTTAGCGTTTTTTAGCGAGTTAGTTTTCTACGGAATGGGGAAGCTAACCCCATGCCCAACCCTCCTCCTTTATCCGGGCTTGGGACCGGCAGTAACTCTGAGAAAGCTACAGGTGGAATTATCGTACTTCGTAGGTTGTTCAAAAACCGAGAAAGATTGACTCGTGAGAAGCAGGCTGGTTTTCGTTTTGGTCGAGGATGTCTTGATTATATCTTCACCCTCCGCCAAATGTTAGAACACCGTCATACTTATCACAGGCCCCCAAATGCCCTGGTATGGCCTAGACTAAGATTGATCACACCCTCCCTCTCGAAATGCTCTCACACGGCCACGCGTATACAGCCTCTGCCAGGGAAGTCCTACTCACTGCCTTCTCGTGGCGTGGGTGTTGTTTACGAAATTCAGAGGACGAAAAGCGAATGTCCAGCGCTTTAACCGGACTCCAAACCAATGGTGTACATGGGCTCCAGTATCCTGCGGTAACGAATGGCGTATGAACCGATTTTCGGTCACCGGCTACCATGGGACTGCATCTCCTTACGATGCTCCACTGCCTTGTGGGTTAAACCTTTAGGTCAAAGGCTCGGGGTGTTGCCCCCTAAGATAACCATCTGCTTCTATCTGGGCACTCGGGCAGTATCACAGCTCTCACACAAATCGAATGATTTATGTGGCGCATATCTACTCGGTGCCTCCTTGTACCGATGTTTATGTGTTTGAGTAAATAAATACAACAATCGTAGTGTTTCTTGACATCAGGGCTGCCTTCGATTTGTTGGATAGGATTGTTCTCTGAGATTGTCTATTGAAGTAGGGTGTGCCTGAGAAGTTTATTAACATCTTGAAAGCCCTATACACAAACACCTCAGGCAGAGTAAGGGCATACAACCACCTCTCTCCATTGTTCCATTCAAGCAGTGGGCTTAAGCAGGGTTGCCCAATCTCACCATTCCTCTTCAACTTTGCCATCGATGACACTTTGGAAACAGCTCTGATGGATGTAAGTAATGGTGGTGTGGATCTGTTGCCTGGAGAAAGACTTCTCACCTTTGAGTATGCGGATGATGTTGTCTTACTGTGCGATAATGCTCAAGCCATGCAATCCGCATTTAATCAGTTGGCAATCAGTGTCCGTAAGTATGGTACGTACTTTGCACCTTCTAGACTTACAGGACCCTGATCCTGTACTCACCCTGGATGGTGAGCAGATAGAAGTAGTCGAGAAGTTCGTGTATCTAGGTGGCTGCATAAGTGCTGGTGGTGGCGTGAGTGATGAAACCAATACACATATAGTGAAAACCAGAGCGGCTTATGCCAATCTGGGCTATCTTTGGTGCCTTCGTGATGTTAGTCTGGCTGTAAAAGGTCGTATCTACAACGCGTCGGTGAGAGCAGTTCTGCTCCATGCTTGTGAAACCGGGCCTCTCCGAGTTGAGGACGTTAGACGACTCTCTGTGTTCGATCATCGTTGTCTCCTCGTCGTGCATTATTTGCCGACACTTGGACCGGTTGGAAAAGCGGAAAGGTGGTCATTGTATGACATTATGTCGTGGTATGAAAGAAAGCTGTACAGGACGGGTTTCTGTCGATCCTTCAATATCCCTGGTTGGCGTCCTTGATGTGGTGCAGCACAGTGGTTAGAGACATTATCAGGGATGGCTATGTATAGAAGCCAGTGATGATTGTGCTGTAACCTTCCTTTACTTTTTTCATAAAAGTAAACGTAACTTCTTTAATTGAAAGTATCCTCTCTGGTTATATTTTTGCCATCCTAACTGTTTCTCCCATTATCATTATTTCACTCTTGTACACTAATTTCTGTTTATTGTTGTTCATCGTTTAGTATACTCAGCCTCCATTGTCTATCTCTTCACAACCTCATTGTTATTGTGTGACACATATGTATTTGGCCCCCCCTTTTTTTACCGATGTTTATGTGTTTAAATAAATAAATAATTAGAATAACTAACTAAGCAATACTGAGGTTAAGCAAAGGTGACAAATTGGTCAACGAATTTGTAAACCTTCATTAACTAAGATGACTGGGACTTGTGGTGCGTAGGTCTAACCACTGCCTACTTCAACAGGCAATAATAGCTAGTATAGAAGTACACTAGAAAGAAACTAGTGGGAGTTGCAAAACCAAAACATAGCATCAGTCCATCAAGTTTTTAAATTGACTGTACAGTGTTTTTAGATGCAGACTACCTAGTAGGAGTCTGCACAATTACTGCGATCAGTGGGTGATGTTGGATAATATAACTCAGAATTGTTGACAATGATGCAGATACGTTCACTCTTTGTATTCCTCCGTATATTTATTCTCAATATTCCTTCATATATACCTTATTATTATTATTATTATTATTATTATTATTATTATTATTATGCCTTTTTGAATTATATTCTGAATGTTTAGTTTTTAAAAAAAATTATAATTGTTACTGCATTATTACAACTCCTTTGCTATTCATCCTCTTAATTTTGTTTTGTTGTGTTAATAAGGTACTTTAACTTGGGCTTGATAATATAATAAAAAGTAGTTCAGAGTAAGATTTGTAATTAATTCGGTGTGATAATCGTTCATATCAATAATTACTTGAATTTTAACGAATTTAGTTATTATATATTTCAGTATATTGTTCTACTATATTCGGAATTATTCCATTCAGTTTTGATTTCCATTCGATATTAGATTTATTTAAACTTAAGGTTATTTTTGTGGAATTACTAATCAATAAAAAGAATATCTGCACGCAAAGTCCTATTTTTCCATAAAAGACAATCATCACAGGCTAAATTTCGTTTTATTAATAATTAAGGAGCTGGGTCAAGAATATCGAGGGCATTGTTTTGAAGTGATTCCAATCTCACTATTTTGTACACCCATTGGGTTCACTATCACGTTTGGTATTTTCCTATCGCATAACAAGTGTAGTTTATAATATTAGCAAACAAATATTCTCTTGATGCATGAAAAATATGGATAACTGATAGTTGTGCCAGTCTCTACGTCGATAATAATCGATAGCTGATTATGAGTATCGATGACCTGGCTGTCATGAAATGATGATTCTGTCAAAACGGATTTGTATGAAATAAACTTGTTCCTGCATCACATCTGTTTTCTTTATGATTTCTCTTTAGTTTGAGGAAACAATTTTCTTGATTTTTCATAAGTTGCTTACACGGCACTTGATGTCCATATTGTCGGTTATTTACTTATATGTTTTTACAGAGATATAAATTTTGATCTTTGAGGTAATTCATTTATTTTGTATTGACTGATAAAATAAATCCGATATTCTCTATTATTATATACTTTTAGAACGTAAAGGAGCTGTTTTACAGTTAGAAGATCCACTACCAAGTCTTTTTGCAACATTGAGCGAAACTGCTGAAAATGACAGACTACACGATCATTATACTGATAATAAGGTTCATCGATTTGAAAACTTAATTTCGAACCATACAATTAGTAAAACGGATCTGAATACAGATTGTACAGTTGACAAAAATCAGCTTCTCACCGATTCACTTAAATATCCTAAATCTGTAAGTTGTCTTCTATTTTAATACTTTCTATGAATTCTAAGAATTTACTATAACCTTATATTCTTTTGTGAATTTCTGCATATTAACATAAAGAGAATATCGGATACACAGACTTTGAAAATACCTCTGTTCAAATTCTATTCTTACGCAATAATATTAATGCCAATCAAACTAGAAATCAAGAATTACAGGCTAAGAAAATTCGTTTTAATTATAGGTCGATCTATCGTAGTGTATGGAACTTAATCTGACCACTTATCGTAGAAGACACAAAGCGCAGCGAGTTTAAATATGATCTGATGCAGATAGTTTACCGACGAGTGTGTTCAGTAAAACTAACCATATCAACATTAATGTCGAAGATTTGCAGAGCTATTTATTTTAAAAGATTTAAGTATTCGACAGAAAACGTTGGTCTTAGGTTTCGTGATGATTGTATCCAGTTGGTAGAGACTTTGAATGATATAGCTTAGAATCTTTCGCAGTGTTCCAGGTGCATTCACTCTTTATTCTTCCTTAAATCCTGAGTTTTTACATTCATCATGTATTGTTTTTATTATCTCACTTATATCTTCCAGTGTTGTATCTCAAATAAGTAACTTTTTATATTACCATTAATGCTGTTACAATCTTTACCATTCTAAGATTTAACCTGACAGTTTCATACTTCTGTGTTAATTGAATATAACGACTTGAATCGATGTAAAAATTTGCCGGGTTCTTTGCTGCTTCTGAGTGACTCAACGACTAACTTTAATCAGTGATAAAACTTATCAAGTCTCTAAAATTACGTTTATAAAGTGGCTGAGAAATAATGTTATAGTTTTAACACTGTTATTTTATTATTCTGAAATTATAAATGCATTATCAAATAGAGTATTTGTCGATTGACTGACCACTTATGTAGTTATACGAATTACAAGTCGATTGATCGTACATAGGAATAGGCTACAGCTCATTGATTAAGACGTTCAGCTGTCAACCATTAAGTTACAGGTTCAACCAAAACTCTGCCTACATCAATTTGGGCAGTTGGATAATATCACTGGCACTCACACTAAGAGTGTGACTCGAAGCAAAGTACACGAATCTGCACGTGATAAATATGTTAGTCAATTGTCATTTAACATGTAAATGAGGCCTTTTACACAAATTACTATTTTTCAGTTAAAACCTTGTAAAATCGAATCTTACTTACTTACACCTGTTACTCCTAACGGAGCATAGGCCGCCGACCAGCACTCTCCAACCCACTCTGTCCTGGGCCTTCTTTTCTAGTTCCACCCAATTCTTGTTCATTTTTCTCATGACTATTTCCATTTCCCGGCGTAATGTGTTCTTTGGTCTTCCTCTCTTCCTTTGACCTTGAGGATTCCATGTGAGGGCTTGTCTTGTGACGCAGTTTGGTGCTTTCCTCAATATATGTCCTATCCACTTCCAGCGCTTCTTCCTCCACTGGGATCCGGTTTGTTCTCTCCCACAGTTGGTTGTTGCTAATAGTGTCCGGCCAACGGATCCGAAGTACTTTGCGTAGACAACGGTTAATGAACACCTGTATCTTCGGGATCATGGCATTTGTATTGAAAATCCTGATCTTGGTGTTAGTTGACAGTTGCTTTGAGTTCCAGATTTTCTTCAATTGTAAATATGCTGCTCTTGCTTTGCCGATCCGCGCTTTCACATCTGCATCAGATCCACGATGTTGATCAATGATGCTGCCCAGATAAGTAAAGGTTTTTACATCTTCCAAATCTTCTCCGTCAATTGTGATTGGATTGGTGCATGCTGTGTTGTATCGGAGAATCTTGCTTTTCCCCTTGTGGATGTTGAGACATACTGCTGCCAAGGCTGTTGCCACACTGTTCGTCATCTCCTGCATTTGTTGTTGCGTTTGGGATAGAAAGGCCAGATCACCTGCGAAGTCTTATCGTCCAGCTGCATCCTAGATGTCCACTGCATCCCAAGCTCCCCCCGGATATTGACGTCTTCATGATCCGGTCGATCACCAGGAGAAAGAGAAAGGGTGAGAGTAAGCAACTTTACCTGACACCAGTCTTTACCTCGAACGAGTCTGTCAGCTGTCCTCCATGCACGATTTTGCAGTTTGATCCGTCATATGAATTCTGTATGATATCGACTACCTTCTGAGGTACGCCGTAGTGTCGAAGAAGCTTCCATAGTGTTGTTCTGTCCACGCTATCAAATGCTTTTTCGTAGTCAATGAAGTTGATGTAGAGTGATAAATTCCATTCAGTTGATTGGAGTCCGTGGGTGCTGCTTCGATATTGGGTGGGCTCAGTGGGGCTGGTCGATTCAAGAGTTCTTTGAAGTGTTCTAACCACCTGTTTTGTTGCGCTTCAATGTTGGTGATTACCTCGCCTTCCGTGCTTTTCACAGGTCGTTCTGGTTTTCGGTGATTTCCACACAGTTTCTTTGTCGTGTCATACAGTTGTCTCATGTTTCCTTCTCTTGAAGCCTTTTCCACCGTCATTGCTAAATCTTCCACATGTTTACGTTTGTCAGTTCTGATTCTCCTCTTCACTTGCTTGTTTACTTCTGTGTATTCAGCTTGTGCCTTGGCTTTCTCTGCTCTTGTTCGGCTGGTATTGATTGCTGCCTTCTTGTTCCTCCTTTCTTGAATCTTATCCAGTGTATCAACAGTGATCCATTCCTTGTGATGTTGCTTCTTGTGGCTAAATACCTCATGGCATGTTGAAGTGATTGCCTCTTTGATCCCTTTCCAGTTGCTCTCCATAGTAGTTCCTTCTCCACTGAGTAGATCATGAAAGTCCTGGAATTTATTGCTGAGGACTATCTTGAATTTGTTAAGTTTGCCAGTATCCCGAAGAAAAGCCGTATTGAACTTTTGTGATATTGTTTGCCTCATTGTCCAGTACTTCTTGAGTTTCAATTTCAGCTTGGCGACCAGCAAGTGATGATCTGATTTTATATCAGCTCCTCTCTTGGTTCGCACGTCCTCCATCGTCCACCTGAACGTTTTGTTGGTGCAGATATAGTCGATTTGGTTTTGGGTGGTGTTATCCGGTGAAGTCCATGTGATTTTGTGAATGCGTTTATGTGGGAATATGGTGTCGCCTATGACCAGTTTATTGAAGGCACATAGGTTTGCAAATCTCTCACCATTCTCGTTCCTTTCTCGCAGTCCGTGTCATCCCATGATTTCTTCATATCCAGTGTTGTCCGTTCCAACCTTGGCATTGAAATCTCCCATCAGAATGGTCAGGTCCTTTGTTGGGCACTTCTCGATGATTGACTGCAGCCTGTCGTAGAATTGATCTTTAGCGTCTTCATTGTAGTCGTTGATAGGCGCATAGCATTGGATGATGTTCATTGAAATGCCCTTTCTTTGTTTTGAAGGAGGCTTTGATGATCCTTTGTCCACGAGAATCCCATCCTATAAGTGCATTTTGTGCTTGTTTGGACAGCATCAATGCAATTCCTTGTGTATGTGGGGCATTTTCTTCTTCAGGGCCGGAGTATAACGGGAGCTCTCCTGAAGTTAGTCGTTGTTGTCCAACTTGCGTCCAATGTGTTTCACTGATCCCGAGCACCTCTAAGTTGTATCTCCTCATTTTTGCAACAATTTGGAAGACTCTCCCGGTCTCCCACATTGTACGAGTATTCCATGTACCTAAATAAATGGTTGCTCTGGTTGTCAGAAGGGATATCGGCCTCGTAACTTCCGAAGGAACTCGGTTTTCATCATGAAGCGTCATAACTCTTCTAAATGAAGACCTTCTGGCTCCCAGGGCAGAGTTTAAAAGGTTTGAATAATTTTTTCTGGTTAGCGTTTTTTAGCGAGTTAGTTTTCTACGGAATGGGGAAGCTAACCCCATGCCCAACCCTCCTCCTTTATCCGGGCTTGGGACCGGCAGTAGCCTCCGGAGGGACTGCAGGCGGGGTTAAAATCGAATCTATGTTATGTGTGTTTTCTGACAATTCATCGAAAAGTTTGTTCTCTGTTTTTAAAAAGCAGTTAGTTTTTTTAAAGCTCATATTTTGACTTTTTTACATTATCAGATAATCTCTTGTTTTCTTTGATAGGGTGCCTTAATATCAAAACGCAAAAATTCAGGACATCGACGATGTCCAGTCTTAGAAACTGACAGTTTATTCGATAATTTCGATTCTGACCAATCAGATTTAAAACCACCTTCAAAGAAAATGACTGCAACAAAAGAGAATGTAATTATTCTATTTTTCCATACTAAGTTGCTATTGTATGAGTAGAAATGCAATTACATTAAATCAACTCATTATGTGACTAAGGTAACCATTAACTTTGTCGCATGGTATCATTTTTATGGTAAACGAAATGATAGGTTTCTTTGGTTTTATCGTTCATAAACGTACAGCATCAATTTCGTAAATTAGTGTTTATTCAAATATATTCTTGAGTTTGGATCAATCCAATACAATTAAATCTCAGTACGACTTCGCCCTCTGACCATGAGTTTGATGCTAGTAATCTTTCGGTTCCCTTACCGACACATTGTCTTAGCAAGACTTAAAGGAAAATAATTGTTCTGGCCAAATTAACTCTGTGGGACGTTAGGCAAGGCTGACCACCACGTCAAAGTAGCAGCTACGTTGGGAGACATATTCATTGTATTGTACTGGATTGTCGATATCTACAATAAAAGGATCGTTTTATTGTGCTTGTTGAATAAATGCTAGCGGTCCAAAGGTCAACTTTTAATAGCGGTCAAAGTAGTGCAGTTTAAGATATAATAAATTAAAATGTTACAAATAAAAAGAATATTATTTCGAGAAAAGTTTTTTTTACAGCTGATACAGTGGTTAAATAAATGAACTAGCAAATTATAATTCTGATTTAGTTGTTAACATCTTATAGAGATTTTGTTAGATGATTAATTTTATCACTTGTCAATATGTCTCTCGCACTATCATTTCTTATTAAATAAACCTAGAATTTACACAAAATAAAAATAAAACAGAAAGTACTAAGCCATGGTTTTCAAGATTTTAGTATTTTAAAAATGAAGAATATTTGAGCGAACAATTGTTTACAATAACTTCATCATCAGGCTCTTCAGTTATAAGTCCATAATTATGATATTTTACAAAGGCCAAAAATAAGGCAAGTATTAATGACTTTTAGTATTTGCTTATTATTGATCGGCTTCATTTTAAAACACTTCTTGTCTTCTTTGTCGTAAGTAGAATATTCTTTAAAAATGTAACGTAACAAACAAAACTTCAAAAGAAGATTATAAATTTATATTAGTATGAAATTGTTTATGACTAATAGATATTGATCGTCCGGGATGTTGTTTTATGTATTTTGATTCAGTCAACACCCGTATTTTTAACATTTTATCAACCGGAGATGAAGAGGAAAAAGTTTATAACTTGAAGGGAGGTCTCATTGTCAAGGCTCAATAACTATGCTTGTGACCCATGCATATATGTGTTTTTGTACTGACCAAGACAGGGATACGTGGGCTGTAACTTTAATTAGGTGAGCGGTTCATAATTACGACAACCCATCCACAATCGTCTCTGGGATGGCGTGTGGCTTTGACACAGTTTATCATTTGTCTGGACTTTTCTTGCATTTTAGATCATCGTTCCACTAATTATGCCTACCGTAAATACTGCTATGTTTTACATTTTCTTATACTGACGTACTTTAGTTTCTAGGATGTAGTCTGTATTTAGATCTTTTATTTAGTGTAGCTCGAGAGAAATGTGTCAACATAGTTGCATTCGATTTGCTGTCACAGATAAATATATATACATCATCGGTTTCATTGTCCATCATAAAGTATTTACTATTTCTTCACAATTACTTCTTCGACAGCAAGACGAAAACTCCACTTACCGGATGTATAGTCAGAAAAATACGACTGCGCTAAACAAAATCCCTTTATCAACATCTAAATTCACTAAGCAATTTCCATCGATCTTGAATGGTTGTAATTTAACAAAAGAAGTAAAACAACGATATGGTTCTCGATTAACTGATCATCCTGATAGTAATATTCGCAGTACCCAGAAACGAGATTCTTTGGATATCGGCGAACTAATACAGTAAGTCAGTCACTTTGTTCTCATCTGGTCAAGTGGTTTTCTCCCAGTACTTACGGAAATTTGTTATTAAACTAGTAATTTTTAGATTCTGAATGTTATAAAGCATAAGGTATCACTTCTCTCGTTATATAACCAAATGTTTTGTTGTACTTCTTTTGTAATATACCTTTTAAATTCACTAGCTGATTGTAGTGTAAACTATCATAAGATTCTCGATATTTTCATTTGGCTGCGTTTTTAAGAATTAAATTGACAAATTAATTGCATGGAATGAAAGATTTTCGGCCATTCGTTGTTTGATCTGTCTTGTTTTTATGTGTATGAATAAGTAACGCGCACTCTCAACTCCCTGCTAGACCAGTTATGTTTTCGGATAAATAGCTATCAATACTAATTATTTACGCTTTCTGCTAACTACAAATCTCAACATCCGGTACGGGAACGGTCTATAAGTTTGTAAATATTATAGTGTGTGCTTGTGTTCTCTAGCTAGTTACGACGCAGTTTACAATGCAGAGATATCAATTTACTGATAAATCACTGTGTTAATATAGTTGAGGCTGAGTTTCTCATCATTAAATCTTCCCAAGCTATGTGATACTACTGCTGTCGCGTATGCATTTTATGGGGTACGCTGGGAAATTAAAGTTAATCTGAGGGCAATAAACGATATCAGATCTAGTTTCAAGATTGATTTTATTATTCCCAAGGAAGTAGACGAACTTAAGATTATATTATTGTTAAAAAATTTAACTATAGATATTCCATTACTATGTAACTAAATTAAAACAAGACCTAGCATGGGTTGTTACTGTTACAAGATGAGATTAACAGAAAATCATCATCAACAGTACATATAGGATGAATATATATTGCTTAATAGTAATACATATTTTCACTGCAACAATTAAACCGTGATTCATGTGTTCATCTAAAGGAATCAAGGAATGTTAACATATCGTATTATCATAATTCTATTCATGTTACTTTGTTATTACCTGTTGCATCACTGTAACTGTATTTCTTCTTAATAAAATTCATTTTTAAATTTATTTGACAGTTTATTTTTCATTTAGTTTCTTTCCTCCAAATTGTTTAGTTCTACAACCACAACAAGACCGCTTGTTCCACCGTCTAATCAGTTTATCCCCTCAAATGGGAACCCTAGTAGTATAACATCGGCTGCATCATTTTATAAGTCAAAGGCACGTTACTTTCCTGGACATGTTAATAGTAAATCAAAAAGGCCACAATGTACTCTACTAACGTTAGATAAGTTAGTGCAGCATCCAACAGACAGTCATAAGGAAAATCACCCATCAGTGCAGACTTATGTAGACTATCCAGCTCATGCATATATAAATAATACACGTGAGTTTTATAGCTGTATATTTTAGTTAGATTTAGTTTCGTGTCTGCTATTTGCCAGATTTTAATTTAGAAAAACTAGAAACTGCTGTTATAATACTATCGCAATATCGTTTCTATGGCTATCCTTCGTTTGACATTTTAACAGTTTAAAAACTGATTTACCCCTCAGTAAAATATTTAAAGCTCGATTGGTTATCAATCAGTCACCTCAGTGGAATTTCGAAGTATGGAAATTTAACTAGTAATTTCACCTCACATTTACGTTCACATATGTTATTCACTAAATTAGTTTACTGTCCCATATTTTTTAATGTATAGTATACTGACTATTATCATTTACATGTTGATGTACTCACTGATTGCATTTAAATGGCAATTAAAATTTTTTAGATTTTATTCGTATGATCGTTTGCTTCAAAAATCATGTTCGTTTACACGTATCGACATGTTTCAATTATTCATTTTGCAGCTTCTCTGCTTCTTTAGACCGGCCTCCTTTATATGAGTGAGAGAACATAAAAAGATACTCAGACACTGTTACTCTTGAAGTGATAAGTCCTAGTTTTGAAGTATTTGTGACCAAACCATATATTAGTCATTTGAACCTCATTTCTTTATTTGTGTGTGTTACGTATGCCTGAACACTGATTACCACGACGTGCAATGCTAACCGGCGTTCGGGATGGTTGGAAGAAAGTTAGGGGCGGCCAAACCATCAGTGCTTGAAGTCACTAACTTCTAGTCTGAGCCATGTTGGTAGATGCAGACTACTTGGTTGGGGTCCGCGTGACTATCGTAGCCAGTGGTTGGAGACTCTTGTTGAAATACACTATGTCTTCCTTTCAACTAGGAAATTGAAATCGCTTTATATCTTTCTTCCTGTACTATATCCTTATTGCAATCTTTCTTCTATATGTTACCACCATTGAATTAACCACTTTTATGTATCCGGTGTTCATCTGGTTGTGTTAATGGGGTATGGCAACTTGGACCGATGCATAAATGTGCCTGGTCCTACGTTGTAGCTGACTGACTCTTTATTTCTAAAGTTACACGTATTTTTTCCTATGGTTGTTTAGTTATCTTTTTGTGATACACAGTAATGGTTGCTTATAAGTTTTTCATCATGTTCTTTTAGGCGATACACCCAAATCTGTTGGTAATTTATCTAACTCAACCAATGTTAGTAATGCTCTAACCATGATGCAAAATAAAATTCATCATTTAAGCGATACTGTATTATTTCCGTGGTCCATAACTAACAACAGTACACAAATAGATCCTAAATCACTGTCTAAAAGTGCTTGTAAGACGTTACGTGATACAAAGAAAGGTAACTTAAAATGTTTGTCCAGTTGAATTGTTAAATTCTACTTGTTGGATAATTTGATTTTAATCATAATAAAACAGTTTGCTCACACTAGTGACAGTATTTGTCTTTATCATCCCTTGCCTAGTCATTTTCTACTGCATGCACTCTGATTGTGGAAATATGCAGTCAATCATCAACGTCATCCTGTAAAATTTCGTATTATACGTTTCACTTGTTTTAAACACTGTTTATCAACGAATAATTGAAATAGGAATACACAAACTACAACGAAATCATTTAGTGTAATTTTAATAATTCGTTATATGAAGGTTTAGTTCGAGTTATTTTTCTTGCTAAATGTTGTTATTTAGATTTCATTGAACCATACATCTACCGTAAGTAATATTCTCTATACGTGTCCATGTTACTAGCAAATCCACAGAATTAAATTCCTGACAAACATGGTTTTATTTCTGGGAACTCCTCTCTAAGCTATCACAAATGATTATAACACAGACCTTTATCCCAGGTATTATATGCCTCTAAAGCTTCATATCCTACGTTTCGATTTTCTGTGGTTTAAGTCCTTAAGTTTAGAGCAGAAAGGTTGTCTCAAACGAAGTGAATTTGCTCGCTTTACACAAATTAAAAAAAGTTACTATTTCGTGTGCTCACATACTATTGTTTATCCCCCATGTTCTTTTCCTTTCTCCTCCCAAGTTGACCTCAGTCTGGTTGTACTACTAAAGGATTTCGCTCTTATTTCTGTTTAACTCTTCAACGTAACGAATTCAAATTCACCTTTTTATTACATATCCAGTACTCATGTCATGTTAGCTTCCCGAACAGCTAGTGTGTATGAAAGCAAATTGTCATCTTTCTTAGAAAACCCTAGTAAATGATGGGCAGTATCTAGGTCTTTTAACTAATTGTTATAACGCTCGGTTTCACTTCGTCTAATGTTATAACGGTTGGGTTTCCACTTTTACACGTAAGGGACGTTAATTTATCTTAGACGAATATCTACAGTAGATTCCCTCCCAGTGTCTATTCTACAGGACTTCAACACAACTTAGATCAAGAACACGTGATTAGCCTGACCACGACGTAACTATATTTCCACATCAAAAACCCGACACAATTCAACAACAATGAACAATCAATAATGAGTGAGTAATAATAATAATAATAATAATAATAATAATAATAATAATAAGGGGATATATAACTCATCTAACACCTGGCCGACTATCTACGAGTCTGACTATGCAAACAACCAATCATTATCATTCTCCCCCATACATCACTAATCGAAGACGGACGAATGAATCGAGTGGATATTCACGTCAAAATTCAAATTTACTGATGTTATCTGTTTGTGCAGAGTTTACTAGTTAAATCTATGCAAAAAGGTTCAATTCTGCCCTCTTACATGCAGCATTTCGCTCCTATGATATTGACTATTGTGTAAACATTTTAATTATAAATCTGGTTATGTACATCATCTTTTTCCATCCAGGTAATTTGGCAAAAAACCCTGATTCGGTTATAGATAACAGTCAAGGTCAAAATGTTTGTCATTTTCGCAGTCAGATAGAAGTATCTGGGGTCGGATTTTTATCTGGAAATGGAATCGGTTATTTCCGTCCTTCAGCGAGAGCACCTGGTCTTTTTCATTCAAATCCGAGTTCCAGAACAGACTGGGCAGCCAAGTATGAAATTTTTGTGTAAAACGATAGTTCATACTATAAAATATACATGGTTATATGCTAGTATACGTAAGATCCGAATTAAAGAATAGTTATGTTCTAAACCTAGAGTTTACTCCATTAAGCAATGCAAATAAACGAGCTGAATGATAAGACTGACTGTTGGGATTCTACGTTAAACTCACTTTTGTGTTCTAAAACTTCAGCACTTATTGGTGAATATAGACATAAGAAATTTGTTCAGGATTTTAGTAGTAAATAAATGATATTGTCCGAAAAGTATTTTGAAGTTCTGTTATTTACGAGTTTGTCAGTTGATGAATTTCATGGAGTAATTGAAAGCTGCGTTCACGTTATCAACGCCTCGTATTATCAACTGCTTACGAGAAAAACATTATCATAGTAAGAATAATCAGCATAGTTTATAAATCTTGATCCATTTTACCTTAATATTACAACTTTGGCGCAGTTCGTAATCGAGAAATCAAAGGTGTTAAAAAGCAAATATTATTTGAAATACAAATATTGAAATAAAATTTAATATAAACTTCGGTTGAAGGTTTATTGTTAAAAAGTTCAGTGTTCTTACCGATATACCATACGATTATTTTATTTTAATCTTACAGTTTATTTCGATTGTTATGTAACCATATTTATTTAGGATGTTGCTTTAATTCTTGTGTATATTGGTTATTGGGGCAGATTAAGATTTTTATGGGCTTCTATATATATCAGTGTTTATAATACTTATTTGTTTCAGGTATCTGAAGCCATGAATGTATTTTGGAGTCAATGTAATTATCTTCCTTGATACATTTGTATCGGTCTCTTGTTTTGTTTACCTTTACTAACTTTTTGGAATATGCTTTTTCGTGTTCACTTTCATTCGTATTCGTTACTGTTGTTGAATGCTTTATTCAAATAACTACGTGCCTTTATTATTTTACATGCAATTTGTTTTATTAGACGTCTGTTAATTACGGTAAACTTAACAAATGGATTTCTTGACCCATTGGTTTTGTCATTAACATAAATAATTATGATAGTGTTTTAAGATCGTCAGTTTGTAAACAAGTTACCGGTTATTTAGAATTTTTTTATTCACTCTTATAGCCATTATTATTGCTATTATTATTATTATTATTATTATTATTATCATTATTATTATTCTTTTTTCTCATTCATAATAATATAGAAATGTGGTTTACGAACTTGTTGGATTAGTAGTGAGATTATTAAAAATGATTGCTTTTATGATGCTACTCTTCAATTGTGTGTTTCATTATTTTATTATTTGATGTCTGACTGCTTTCTTGTATATGACTGTGTCTGCAAATATTCAAATTTTTATGATGCTATCACCATGACGTGTGGTTTATAATTGGTTCAAATCTCAGTTAATTTATGGTAGTGTCTTAATAATTATTCATTGTGTATGTGTATTCTATACGAAAGTAATTACGTATTATTATGCAGCTATGTGATAATCCGAATCCAATCTGTTTAATATTTGTTTATACGTTCCTATCTCTGTATGTACACTTCTCACTTCACACATATTTTATCTCGCACTTTTCAGTAGCTGAACTGTGATTCTTACCTCATCTTTTTTTATTCAAACGTAGCTCTGTTTGTGTAAAATATAATCGAAATAAAATATTACCGCATTCTTCTGTCTTTTTTCTTCAAATTTTAAAACAATGTCCTTAGTGAAATTGTATTTCGTTTCTTATAGTTTCAGATTATATATAATCTTTGTTAATTAATACTAATATCAGCCATTACTTTCTTTACTTTTCAACTGCCGGCTTTTGTAACACACCGATCGGAATTTTACTAATCCAAACCTTGAGTTGGTGTAACTTGGTTCAATATACCTGATAATAGATTTGGTTAACTTAGTCATAACAAGATGAAATATATTGACGATGCTACTTCGAATCCTATTTATTTAGACTTGTAACATTCGTCTGAATAACATATGGTAATGTAAATATCAACAGGATGATACAGAGATGTCTCACAGAGCCTAACTGCTGTAATCGGCAAGGGTACCTTGTTAAAATGATACTTCAAAAGTTTCGGCGACACTAATTTAAGGACGACCTTTGAACGATTCTTAAGTGACCTTGACAATTATTAGCCAATCAGAAGAAAGTTAGTATAAAGTGAAAATATATTATATGAAAGTAATGAATTACAGTGGATATTCTTCTTTTACATGATTTAAAAACTTGTTAAGGTTTGATTAAGGTTCAGAGGTTCTGAATTCACAATGCATATGGAAAAGAAACTCGTCTATTGGGTTAGAGTTAGGTTTACGGGTAAGGTTAGGGTTAGGGTTAATTGAGGGTTAAGGTTTAGGGTTAGGTGAGGGTTAGGATGCTAACATACGAGTTTTTAGGGTTAGGGTTAAGGTTTGGGTTAGGGTTAGGATGCTAACATACGAGTTTTTAAATCATGTCAAAGAAGAATATCCACTGTAATTTATAACTTTCTTTTAATTTATTTTTACTTTATGCTGTCTTCTGATTGACTAATAATTGAAATTACTCAGACGCTCCTGATTGGCTCGTCCCTAAATTAGAGTCTCGCCGTTCTATCTGTTGTAACCTCTCATTAATCACCTACTCTCTAAAATCCGCTGTGAACCAATCGTATGTTAGCAGCGCGTGTTGAACTTGGCTCCGTGACCTTGAAATTGCTCAAACGCTTCTGATTGGCTCGTCCTTAAATTAGAGTCTCGCCAAAGTTTCGAGCCTTATTATTTCTATCACTGATCATAAAAGTTTAATTCATTTCTATGTAGAAAATTGAAGCTTCCTTTGACTGGTATTTTGATAAAACAATATAATATTGAACTTTCAAAACCCGACTTGTAGCATTCCCATACCAGGACGAAACGGCCGTCCAGTGCTTCCAGGTTTTCAATGGTGGTCTAGCTTCAACTGACTCATGATTTCAACCTGTGAATATTATTATATTCGTTGATCTATGAGGTAGCGTATTTCATATTGCTTTTTTCCAATGAATGAGTTTCTAGAAAATTTAAATATGCCATTAATAGTGTTACGCGTAATTAATCCTAAAAGTGAAATTATAATAGATTAGTTAAATAATTCCGTTTGTAATAAAGTTTTTAGGAGAAATCGATATCGTGTGGGTTATTTTTATTTGTGTTTTAGCGTTCAGCTCCTCTCTATGCTGTGGTGGATAGTTAAACTAGTTTTTCTATCGAGTGATTTTATTTTACATTTGTCTAGCACTTGTTTGTAAGCTATTAGCTATTTTCGATTAGATATTTAATTCAGGTAAAATGTTAGCGTTTCGGCCATACCCAGTGTAATGGAAAAGTAATTGTTAAAATGAATTAGTTACTATCAAAATTTTCTTGTTCTTACAAATGCAATACTGTATCAGTTTACAAACAGTATTTCCTACGACCTACCCTCAAAACGTTATTTCAAAAGTTTACTACTCGAAGCTGCAGGCGTTTTTCTCTATATCAGATGGATTTCGTTGAAGTAGTTTATCGAATTTGATTTTGATTGTATTCCGTGCTTTTATGTTTTCTTATTTTTTAGGCTAAATGAGTGACCTTGAGTTTACTTCAAGTGTGAGTTGTGGTATCTTTCTGTACAATTGATGTGCTTAACATGCGTTCATCTTTCAAAAAAGTTTTATCTAAGAAAAAATGGTACTTTTGGTTCGTATTATTTAACTACTCAAGACAAAATCGAATTGTGGAATAATTCGATTTTCTAATTAGTGAACAATACTCTGTACCAGTAGGTTACATATACATATGATAAGACTTCAAAAACACTGAATTTTACCTAGCTGTCATTGAAATGGATTTGTTTTCAAGGAGTTTAAAATGACCATCTGGTTGTATATAAATCATGGTAACAAAACACCGGTTTCAAGTATCCTTCTTTTAAGTCCATTTACTAAATTTGGACGTCTATATGGAAATCGTACTAATAATTTCTTATTCACCTTTTTATGTAATCGTATGGAAAGTTAAAAACACAAATAAAAATAACTATGATCTTGAAAGAGAAATTTAACCTTAATGTGTCATAGAACAAGGTGAAAGTTTGGCCACAGAATTTATATTTATTCTAGTATTATCGAATATTAAAACCGTATCTTAATGATTTTTAGCTTCTAGAGGATGAAGAAGAACAAGATTCAACTTATGATCGTGGAAAGAAGCGAATGTTTTCTCGTGAAAGTAACATATATTTTTCTGTTATTACTGATTTAATTTATTTCTGTTTTAGTACGTTCAATGTTGTATGCTTTTGGAGATGATGAAAATCCATTACCTGAAACTGTTTCCTTAGTTGAAGATATAGCAGTTCGACATATTATAGAAATGGTAAGCGACATTGAATGTCCCATTTCAGGGTAAAACAAAACTCCTAATGATGAATAATATACATAACTTAATTTTGAATTTTTGTAATTCCAGTTTACGAATGTTATTATTATAAGATTAGGTTTTAATGTTATAAATCCTAGTACTTTTTTGCTGATTATCTTCTAATGTGCATTTAAATATATAAATTTGTAGTTTACATTTCTAACTGATCTTAGTTAGACAACTATTCAAAACTAAGAAGCACTGGACAACAGTTTTGTTCAAGCACGGTGCTCTTCAACAGTATCCATCCCCGATCCAAACTCATAACACTCAGAGAGCTCTTAACTTTCTGAACATTGAGTTAGCATCCAGTAATGTGTTTGTTTAACTTCAGTCGGTCAGTGACATTGCGTAATCTCGGTTAAATTCTATTTTAGAGTAGCTGTCTCAATTTCGATATGGTTGGACTCTTTTCCGTTACTATTATTATTTGACTTTGTAACTTACTTACTTACTTACGCCTATTACTCCTCGTGGAGGAGCATAGATCACCCACCAGCACTCGCCATCCAACCCTGTCCTGGGAAAACCTTCCCAGTTTTCATCCATCATTTTCATATCTCCTATTTCCCGATGTAATGTGTTCTTTCGTCTCCCACTTTTCCGCTTACCTTCAGGATTCCAAGTAAGGGTTTGCCTCGTGATGCAGTTTGGTGATTTCCGTAATGCATATCCTATCCACTTTTAACGTATTTTCCTAATTTCCTCTTTAGCTGGAAGCTGGTTTGTTCTCTCCCACAGCAGGCTGTTGCTGATGGTATCCGGCCAATGGATGTTGAGTATCTTGCGTAGATAACTAATTATGAATACTTGTACTTTTTTGATAATGGTTGCAGCGGTTCTCCAAGTTTCAGCTATGTATAGTAAAACTGTCTTGACGTTCATATTGCAGATTCTGAATTTGATATTGCTTGAAAGTTGTCTTGAATTCCATACATTCTTCAATTGTAGGAATGTGGCTTTTCCCTGGAAATCCTACTTTTTATGTCTGCATCCGATCCTCTTTTGTCATCAATGATGCTTCCCCGGTGCGTGAAGGATTACAAATCTTCCAGAGTTTCTTCCTCAAGTGTGATTGTGTTGGTGTTATCCGTGTTGTATCTGAGGGTCTTGCATTTTCCTTCGTGTATGTTGAGGCCTCCTGATGCAGATGCTGCTGCTATATTATTTGTCTTCATCTGCATTTCTTCGTATGTATTAGATAGGAGGGCTAGGTCATCTGCGATGTCCAAATCGTCTAATTGGTTCCGAACTGTCCATCGTATTCCGTGTTTTCCTTCAGATGTTGAGGTCTTCATTATCTAGTCGACCACCAGAAGAAAGAGGAAGGGGGAGAGTAGACAGCCTTGTCTGACTCCGGCCCTTACTTGGAATGCTTTTGTCAGCTATCCTCCATGCACGACTTTGCACTGTAATCTGTCGTATGAATTGTGGATAATGTTGATAATCTTCTCAGGAACTCCGTAGTGTCGAAGAAGTTTCTATAAAGTATGTGGAGCATTTCCCTCTTCGTAACCGGAGTATGCGAACATCTCTCCCGTATCTAGTCTACATAGAGTTCCGAGAACCGCCAAGTTTTATTTCCATTTCCGTATCAATTTGACTGGTCTTTCCGGTCTCTCACATTATCCGGACATTCTATGTGCCTATAATAATTGTTCCTCTGGTTGTTTGAAGGGGCGCATATATATTTGGCGCACTCCTGTACCAATATATATGTGTTCAAATAATAATAATAGAAGAGGCATCGGCCTCGTGACTTCCGAAGAATCTCGGCTTTCTTCATGAGATGTCATAATTTTCCCTTCAACTCCCAGGAAAGAGTTTAAAAGATTTAATGTGATTGGCGTTCTTTTCAGCAAGATTTTTGTCTACGAGATGGGGTTGCTAAACGCTCCTCTTCTACCCGGGCTTGCGACCGGTAGTAGAAAAGCTACAGGTGGAGTTATTCTTTGCAAATATTTACGAATGAAATCAGTTAAATCTCAAATGGTCGTATCTTTTACTTACGATGGTTTTTGTGATTAGCAGAAAACGTTTGCATGATACTACACAGTATAAGCTAAGGATTCATTGAAATTTAGATATATCAATTTAATTCTCTTTTGAGCAATGTCAACTCCGTAGATACACTGACATCGACGGGTTTTCGCGCCGATTTTACGATCCTTACTGTCTGATAGGTTTGTACACCGGTATTTCCGAAATCTTATTTTTCGCAATAATTTCTAGAATGATCACACGATAGTTTCTCCTTTTTGAAAAACTCTTTCTAATAAATTTAGGCTAAAAAGGCATTAAAAATTGGTAAACCAGGAAAAATCTCTGTTGAAGATGTTACTTATCTCGTTCGACGTGATCCTAAGAAATTTTCTCGAGTGAAAGAGCTGCTCTTGCTCAGTGAAGAGCTCCGACGTGCACGCAAAGCATTTGAAGAAGATGAGTTTGATGTGCTTAAATAATTACTTTTCTCACCCGCGTACTACCGTGTTTTTTATTTGTAAATAAATCTTGCACAACCAATAACTTATTAAATTTCTTTTTCTTTTATGTGAAACTTCTGCTAACACACCCAGTTCCGCAACTTTTTAAAAGTCAGTAATAATAGTTACTCTTTAAAAATTTCTGTCCAATACAGATTTAGTCAATCTCGATATCTCTCTTAAATTTTTTTCAGAGAATAAGGCCATTCGAATCCATTTAGTTGGAACACCAGACAATTATAATAATATTAAAACGGCACCCTGATTTGTCTAATAGGTTCGCTATCTTATATCCAACTTAGATTTGTTATATATTTCTAAATAAGCTTCAAGGTTTTGATATGACTTTAAAATGGTGTGTAATATACCTCTTCGCAATGCTTTTATCGATTGGTGCCGTGAAGAACAAATGTCGCTTGCAGATCATGGAGGTGCATACTTCCAGCGATCAGTAAGCCTAGACAGATAGAATATCCAAGTTACCTAACTGTAAACCATTCAAAACAAGCTGGGATTGTGTATATATTCAATTCGAAAACAATTTGACCTAATATTCTTGACTAACTAAAAAAGGCAAGGATATGCAAAATAAGACTACTATAAATCAATATTCTTAGTTCAGAAGGTAACTACAGAATCAGAGTACGAAGCGATCTTAGCCAGACCACCACCGGAGAACCAGAGTGCACTGCGTGGTTGTATCGCTCCAGTATGTGACTGCTCAGCAGTACTCATACACTACTTATCACAGATTGGACCTCGTATTTCGGATCTAAAGTATGAACGCGGGCAGAGAATACATAAAGCCCATGCTGGGAACGAAATCTTTTCAGTGCTTACTGGTTCTCATTGATGCTGTAAGTAAAATCAATTCGCGATCAAAATGATGTATGTTAAACAACTCATCGCTGCACTTTGTTTGATATCTGCCGTATTTCATATTCGATTAACATGAAATATATTTCCCCCTAGTTGAGAATCTCCCACTATGATTTGGATGCTTACATTTAAGAAGACTTTTTCGACAAGTTATATTTTTTTGAAGTGTGAATCCAACATTCATTTGCAATTTGTATCAAGAGACTCCTAAAAGACTTACCTACTATGCTAAATATTTCCACTAAGTTACAAACACAAGTTCAGTTTCTGTTTCGTTATTCTATGAAATAGCAGACGATCGACTCTGCGTCCGCTCAGGTCATTTTGACGAATAATTTGGCTGCAGTAATGCTCGCTGACATCCAAAATAAGAAGTCAGAAAAACCACTTTCGATTTAAAAAACCAAACGGCTCTTAAGTTTTTGTTACTCACAAATTCGCAATACTGTGGAGATGTACTACTATTGTAGTAAGCGAAACAATCAAAACCGTTTCAATACGAATATTGCGTTTATCTCGTGATACTCGTTTTGGGAAAGGAACTTAAAAATCAGTAGACGGCCTTACGGTTTCCATTCTGTAGTACACTGGTAATACTCAGCAATACAGAATTTAGCATTACCCCGGCAATCTTTATTTGTGGGGACCTTGAGACATTTTAAACACAGCAAATATCCAGTCACTGACATGTTCTCATGCGTAGAAACTAATTCGGAAAGTGGATCAGTACTGACTTGATCACTATTTAGGCACCATTGACGTGTTTCTGGAATTTATCGTGGTAAATTAATCCGTCGGATACACAAGATCCGAAATTGCTGTGTGAATTGAGGGCGATTCATCTTGATTTAACTAGAGCTGTTCAGTAGTCATTTCGAAGAAAATTATTATGATCTATCACACCTTGTTTGAAAGATGTCGTCCTCCGATGAGCGATTAAACTTAGTGTTAATTGCTGACCGATATACGGTTTCCGTTCGATCTACGAACTCCTTGCAGAGCAGCAGATTTGAAGTTTGGCTGTCGATCAAGACTACTCCAAAAACCGTATCTAATTCAAGCTCGATTAATGTATGATTGTAAAAACCAGCGCGTAAGACGTAAATACATTTAACGGTTAAGGATTCGTTTCACGAAAAATCTCATGTTTACCGATCATAGAATCGATTCCTTAATTCCACCTGATGTTAATGTGTTGAAGGTAGAGAGTCCGTAAATCTTGCAGACAAAAATAATCTGGGTTGCCCTTTATTAACATATACATTTTAAAAGTTGATACTACTAGATATGATTTGGTTTGGCATCGGAGTGAACTAAACCTGTGTATTTAAATCGTTCATGTCGGGCTTAGCTTTTAATATTGTTCATTTATACTTTATTTTTTGTACATAACAAGTAACTTCACTGTAAATACCTATTTTTCCGGCTTGAAGACTCCTTATAACTAGTACATAAAGGGGTTAATATCCGTATTTGTTCACATAAGAGATCATTCGGCCACATCAAATCAATGCATTCCATTTATTAATTGGTGATGTATCTGTTTATTTGAACAATTTTCATACAAAACAGAAATGCCTTATATTTTATAAAGAAACGAAAAAGATTATAGGTGTACCTTATTCTGTCATAAATGATTAGTTTTCCTGAACACTAAACACTTATTAGAACAAAACGACTTGATTGTCTGAGTATGAATCATTTTTACACTATTATTCTGGTAGTTCCAAAACTCTATGGTGAATTGGATTAAACTCGCACGAACGTTCGTAAGTTTATGCGAATTGTGTGAATTTATTATTACGTCTTTTCATCTATTCGAACCTTCCTATCCATTTAAAGACTCAAGAAAAGTTAAGATACCACAAAAAGAAACAAAACAAGCAATTGCGTTCTTAAAATGTATATAACAAAAGAGGTGGTGAACCAGAATTTTAAGTACTTGATCAGCAATAATTTAATATACAAACCTGTGACCTAAAGCTGGAAATTGATGCATCGTCAATAATTATCAAATATGATTATACTTTACACATTCGAGACAATCTGCGTGTCTAACAGCTGAATTATGTTTGTATACTTTCAAAGTTAAAAATAATTCGAAAATCGATGTTGTTCACGTTACGACTAAAGCTAGCACAATCAGTAAGACAAGGAATAAGATGGAGACTGGCAGTAGATTATTTTTAAGTAGACAAATGATTCGTACTTTGTACACATATTTATATGAAAAAGAAATTAAGATCATATTAACAGTTGTATTGTTGGGAAACCGAATATTTTCATACCTGAAAAGCAAAGACAAATTCGACGATAAATCGGGAAAGCAAATTACTGACTGAAAGAAGGTTGAAATCAGTAAGTTTCAAAAAATAGCTACTCTGTTTTAAGATTTACTTGGAGTATTGTGTCAGTAGGTTGAACAGAATAAGCATAAGAAAAAAGGCGGATAAACGTGAGAGTAACTCTACGATACTCTGTCTAATTGTACTGGTAGCATTATTCAGTACCGGAACACGGAGACCTGTATGAGATCAGTTTATTTGAGGACATTGAGAACATTTGCAAGGAAGTGTCGAGAAGAAAATTGTCAAGGAAATATAGTTGAGAAAACGAAGATTAAATAGAACGATAACGAGTGTAAGAACTGTAGCAAAAAAGGATGTGTCTAGAACTTAAACATTACTTTTAGACCAAACAACAAACACCATAAAAATGAATAGATATTGTATGCCAACTCAAAATGAAGCGTATAATGTTGCTTTCCAAAAGTGCGTACTGTGGACTTATATATAAATTCAGATCCACTGTATCTTACAGTTAATGCAGTAACTTTGTACTGCCGAAACAAAAGAAGAATAAAATACCATGTTACTATTGTTAAGTCAATCATGAAGAAATAGGTTTGATTTGAAAGTCATAAAATTCACTTACCAAATGATTAAATTACCTGTCTGAAATCTCACTTGTGAACTAAAGATTATAAGTGTAAACCGAAGACAGGTTAACACTTAGTACAGGAAAGTGAACAAATCTAATGATGACTTTTATGATGAGAATGTTTCGAATGATTGGACTTCGTAAAATAAGTTTTTGGTGACCGAACATTATCACTGTGATCTTCTGAGGATCGACTGAATCGAGAGAGTCCTACTTTTTGGTTCCCATAATTCGAACTTGAAGATTCTGAAGAAGCTGTTGACGAATCACGAAAATCCCTCTTACGACTACGATGGGAATGCCGTGAATTTGTTTTCCTTTTATGTGAATGTTTGGAATGCGAACGTGAAATTGTGACGGCCGTATCCGTTTCATTTTTATGGCGTTTAGAAGATTTCTGATGAATGCTGGAAGAATAAGATTGCTTTTCATAATACTTTTCTTGTACAGTTTGAAATTTCCCACTTTCAGTGACAATTTTATTATCTGGAAGGTAAAACAAATTATAAGGACTTCGAAAAACGAAGAACCAGTACTTATTGACTGTAACTATTGCGAACATGAATTTTCATGATCTTTTTGATTTTTAAATCCATCAGTTGACATGAACGGAAAAAACGTAGTCTACTGATTAAATTCAGTGAAGGGAAATAGAAATTTGTAGAAAAGTTTGTTACAAATATCTACTAGAAGCCATACAGAATAAAAAGAATACGAAATATAGCTGTATTCCAAACTCATGATTACAAAATCAATATAGGAAAAAACCATGTAACATACGAATATATTGATAGGATCTTTATGTCATAAGTTCTCGCCAAATGCATATTTCATTGGAACAACCACTATACAACAAACACACTCAAAGACAAACTGATGTTTGTCTTAGTTACTGTCGAATTTATGTGACGACACTAAGCTAATTAGTCTCGATAAGTAAAAGGTGTTTTACTTGGGCACTACATAGCGTGCGTGCAATTATTTTTCACAAGTTCCTAAATTAGTGCTTGGCACATTGATAGCACTAAGTATTAACATCAAAGTATTACAATTTAAGATAACTGAATCCATTCAATTCACGATATCACAGCACCATAACAAGCCTGTGTTAAGTGACATTTTGAAAGAAATGATAAATAAACTAAAGCATCGGTTAAGCTGTAGAATAACAAAGTTTTCTTACGATATTAAAGTCGATGAGACGTTATATCAAACAGTAAAGCGGATCACGAATTGCAGACATGAAACTATTAGAAATGTACAGAGTACTCCAAATACCCCAAGAATTCAACGATCATTATTAAGTCACAAAAATCTATACTCAACGATCATGGTGATTGAC